ATATATAATATTTAGTAAATTAGGATTAAAGAACAAAATCTAAAAAAAATTCTACAAAAGGACTTAGAAGAAAAATTAAAAAATAATAAAATAAAGATTAAAATTGAAATATCAACAATAAAGAAAGACAAACCGTAATTTTTTTGGGAGAAAAGAGAAAAGAAAAGAAAAAAATGTCCACTAGTAATAAATCGAGCTATCATCATCAACACGAACCACTTCACCAAAAAAACAAACATGGTAACACTTCTAACTACATAGCAAAATGATATTTTTAGACATAGAAATGCATCATATACATTGCTCAAAGTGTATAGACATCTAAAAAAACAAACATGGTAGCACTTCCAGCTATACAACAAAATGATATTTTTAGACATAGAAAGACATCATATGCATTGCTCAAAATGCATAGACATCTCTCCTACACCTCCAAGTGTTGTACATATGTTTGCCTTTTTTATATATATTTAGCTAAATATAAAATTGTTCATGAGCTGACATGGTAATAACGAAAAAATCCTTGTGAAAAGATTAAAAAAACGCTCATTAAGATTAGATTTTTTTTTTTTTTACTTGCAATGGTATTTTGGTCGTTTCACTATGCTTTTAATATATATATATATATATATATATATTTGGCCTTGATTTTACATGAAAATAATTAAAAAACCATTTTGCAATTACCAAGTTACCCTTTGATGTCAATATTAAAATTTTTATTTTTAAAAATATTTCAATCATTTCACTATGCTTTTTGAATATGAAAAGACTTGATTGTTTCTAGTTAATTTAATAATGACTAATACACCATGTAAAAATATCTTAATATCGGCTAGTTTAAAATTTTCTAATTTGAAGAAAAAAATTATCATTAATTATTTTTATAAACAATATTTTTGAGTCTATATCTACAATGTTTTCCTAAAATTATTCAAGATTTTTTAATAAATAAACTCATTTTAAATTTTAATTTGATTAAAATTGTTGATTTAATTTTTTTTTCTCATATAGAAAAATGGGCGTCCAATAAGCTAAAATATTAATATAATTAAAGAAATAACCATGTTTGTTTTAAGGTTTGTCTAGGAGTATTTCTACTTTTGTTTTTGAGAGTTTTTTAAAAATATTTTTAGCAAGTATTAAATTGAGGACTTTTAGTATTTTGTAATGGTTTTAATGTGTTGCTATTACAATTTTTTTTAAAAAAATATTTTAATCCATTTTTAAAAGAAAAAATATTTGAAAAAGCATATACACCACAATCGTAAATACACACTTAATAGGCGTAAGTGATTATGAGTTTTTTTTCCCTTTAATTCATCACTATAAATTTATTTATTTTTCGTTATCAACATCTTTGTCTGTTTTGATATGTGTTTTTGTTTTCTTATAAAAAAAATTCCTGAATTCTTATTTTCAAATCATGAGAAAATCACCATTATAAAATCTTCTGACCTTAACAAAAATCACTTTATATGATCCTTTTAACAAACCTTCATCTTTAATTTTTTTAGATCTCTCTTCAACTTTTTATAAAACAAAGAAATTTGAGTGTCATCATTATTATAATATTAATAGGATTCTTTATGTTGATAGTCTATTTTTGATTTTGAACTTCATATTAACTTTAACAATTAACATTATTTCTTTTTAATATATTTTCACTAGCATGATTAAAAATTTTTATACATGCTTTACCTTTCTTGTTACTACTAAGCTTTTTAAACTTCACACTCTTTAATAGCATATTAGTGATGTACTTCATCTTGTTGATTTTTTACCTATCTATATATAAAAAGAATAAACCATTTATCTATCAAATTGATTAATATAAATAATTGTTCAATACTAATTTTCAAGTAGAATAGTAAAGAGGGGTTAAATTGACCAATGACTAGGAGATTAAAATTCATATTAGTGACCAATCGATCAAGTCTTATATAGAAAATGAGTATTTAATAGAATAACTGGTGGATATTACATATTGATATGAACACATATGACTAACAGAAAGATTTATGAAATTAAAAAAATATAAATTATACTAGGATTAATATTGTACAATTTATATATTCAATAGACAGTTTGTATAGGAATATGTTTTATTTTTACATGAAATTCTTTGTATAGGAATATGTTTAATTTTTACATGAAATTCTATCTTTATAACAATATAAATAGGTTATCAAGTAGCTAAAAATGATGGTCAACCCCATAAACATAATTTATTCCATAATTATTTATAACTTTCTATTATTTATTGCTTTTTTTTACTTATTACAATCTATTTCTTTATATCTTTTATTTATAATATTTTATTTATTATTTTCCTTTTCTTTTGTGTTCTTCATTAGTTTGTAGTTTTAACAATTCCCCTTTTTTATTCTAAACTTGTTAGGGGCAAGTTTAGAACTTCACAATCTATTTGATTAATGAGTATGCTCTTTCTTTGTTCAATATTAAGTTTTTAGTTATAGTGTCTCTTTATTAGAATGAAAAAAAATGAAGAACATATAGCATATTGATCAAGAAACCAATAATCGATCAACATCATGATGATGATTGATCATCTAATTATCTATCATATCAACAAATAGAAATTCCCAATGGGACTAAGTTTTTAGATTAATAACATAATAGTAATCATGCCAAAAAAACCAACTGGAAAAATATGATTATAATGAGTGATGATAAGTCAATTCACATGGCTAATAAATGCCATTCTTCCAGCAACAAAGAGCCTAATATCAATTCACCAATATAAAAGCTAATGAAACAACCTATAATAGACATGAAACAATATAACTCTTTATCGTCTAATTCCCCACCATAATATAAAAATTATCATTGGACAAAACCCTATTATCTTTAAGTGGTCTCTCATGCTCCCAGCTTTTCCAATATCATTACCTCTACCAATATCTAGTGAATATGTTGTTACTCTTTGCTTCCAATATAACCCTGTACTTATTCCTTTTAAGGATATCATGTGTAATTAGGTTGTCATAAGTAACTTTCCTTTATTTGTCTGTCAATAATAAATATAATTAGGAATGATTGCTAATAATCCCACCTACTCTAAAAGTGTATAAACAACCTCAAACCAACTACTTGGCTCAATAACTTTATCTACAACCATAACAACCTATACTTGAGCAATTTAATGTACCACGGTCTACTTGATATTAAAGAAATTTTAATCTTTTTAGCACCTATTATTGGCTAACAAATACGGGAAAAAATTGATAAGGTTGAGTTAGGATAACATTAAAAAGAGATGGGGTTATAAGTTAGACATATAATTAGGTCAACATATGATCACTGATGTTCTGAATGGATTGATAAGTTAAATCCAATTCTAAAAGAATAAATTTTTTTATTTCAAATAGTTTTCTTAGAAGGCTACTTTTCAATAAAGGAACATATCATTAAGTTTACTTATCAATATAATGATGATGTTACCAATCATGTTATAAAACTCGAGTTACTTGGTTCATCACTAACCAAAACTGTGTTTTACTAGGTTTTTACATTACCACCTAACTTCATCAATATCTAGGAAGGGATTGAAGCTTGTTTTTATAAGCACTTCTATAAAAGAGAACTAGAAATAACATTGGCTCATTTGACTATGATGGTTTAAGGCCTATAAGAGTTCATATAAAGTGATGTTCTTTCTTTAAAGACTATAGAAACCAAATGCACTACAACATAATATGGTGAGAGTGTATCAATTTAATTTTGAAATGAATGCAGTGGAATCTCAGAAAAAGGTTTATAGGAACCAAGTATTTTTATAATTATACCATTATAAATTATGCTTTTATATATATATAAGAAGCAATGCTAACAAAGCAAGTAGAAAATAAGTCACTTAAGGGAACATACCTTGTTGGCTATCTGAATGAGATCATGATGGGCCATTTTATGATCAATTTAGACTCCGATGAGGACTTTGAAAAAGTTCAACAACATCTTATATCAATTGTTGAACTTAAAATAGGAAATCATTTGAGATTACTTCATGAATAAAACCAAAAATGGCTAACAAGTTTATTAGTAAAGATGCAATAATGATGAAAGAAAT